AGGAGGGCCTGGCGTGCTCTGGTCCATGGGGTCACGAAGAGTCGGACACGATTAAACGACTAAACAACGACGAAAATACATTAAATGATTAAAAATATTTAAAACTTTTAAAACACACTTAACTTTAAAAAAACAGCATTTGGGGACTCTGTTAGCTAAGTAACAAATATTGTTAGCTAGCACCTTATCACTAACATTTATAATTGCCACTAAAACATCTAGCCAAATGTGTGGAGTTTCATGCTTTTGAATAACTGAAAAGCTTGCATACTACTGTAGAACTGTACTTGATTCTAGTATAAGTATTGCCTACTGTGGATTTTGTTTTGTTTTGTTTATGGTCCAGCTCAGCTATACCAAGTTTTGTATCTACAAGAAGTGACTTCTCTTGGCCCTGCCTAGACAACAGCATCTCCTAGTGGTGTGTCTTTGAACACTGAAATGCAGGCCAATTCTGAAAAGACATCCTCTTGCACTGAGCTTGCTGGCCTATATATTGAAAGCTCAGCAGCCTTTAGTACCATTGTTCATGTATCCTTCTGGGCTGTCTCTCTGGAAAAGACTTGGAGGAACTGTTCTATGGTCGCTCAAGTCTTTCTTGGAGGGGAGAACTCAGAAAGTGGTGCCGGGGGGGGGGCTCCTGTTCTGACATCCTGGCCATCGGCCTGTGGTGTCCCTCAGGGTTCTGTTTTGTCACCTATGTTATTTAACATCTACATGAAACTGCAGAGAGAGATTGTCCAGAGTTTTGAGGTTCACTGTCACCAGTATGTGGATGACACCCCAAACTATCTCCTTACCATCAAAATCCAAGGAAGCTATTTCAGTTCTAGATCAGTGTCTGATGTCAGTAATGGACTGGGTAAGGATGAATAAATTGAAACTTAATCCAGACAAGTCAGAGGCACTCCTGGCCAGTCAAAAGGCAGATCAGGAAATAGGGATGCAGCCTGTACTGGATGGAGTTACACTCCCTCTGGAAACACAGATGTGCAACTTGGCTGTGCTCTTGGATTCATCTTTGAGCCTGGATGCCCAGGTTTTGGCAGTAGCCAGCAGTGACTTTGCACACTTAAAACTATCATTTTGTTGCTTCTAAATCTGATTTTAGTAATGCTTTTGTCTAACATTTTAATATAATGTTATTGATTCTTTTTAATTTTTTGAATAATTCAATGTTTTTAGCTTTTAATATTGTATTTTTAATGATGTAGGTTCCTTGGGTACTTTTTTAGGGAAAAGGAGGAGTAAAAATATTTTAAATAAATGAATAGATTAACATCTATTCCTATTTTTACTGCAGTATCCATTACATCATTCAGTTTTTCTTACAGACCTGCTGTTTCAGCCAGAGAATTCATAGCAATATTGCATTTTTCACCTTTTGTTTTCTTGCTCCTCTTCTTCCACAGATCATTGACTGGGAAGCCCTATTGGCTCGTAAGATTAAGCCACCATTTGTGCCAGCGATCAAGGGACGTGAAGACATCAGTAATTTTGATGAAGAGTTCACAGCTGAAGTAGCTATGCTAACACCACCACGTGAATCACGGCCCCTCACTCAAAAGGACCAGGATTCCTTCAAGGACTTTGACTATGTTTCCAGTGCCTGCTAGCTCTGGGCATGGGGGCAAGGAGATCCTCCCACTGCCGAACACTGCCAACTCTCTAGGCAGGGTTCTGCTCCACCAGTGACTCAAGATGCTTGCCAGCCCTGTCTCTGGCTCCAGGAGCGGAGCTGGGAAAACCCTGCCACACTGCCAACCCTGTGGGGGACAGTAATGTTCTCCAACATGTGCCAGCTCCAGGATTAGACAGGGAAGGCTCCAGAAATATTTCTGCATCCTTCAAAACACAGTATCAGTCATGCAGAAAGATGGAGTACCTGGTAGCTCTAAGGGAGGGGCAGAAAGAGAGATAGTGAGAATGTGTGTGTGTGTGTGTGTGTGTGTTTGCGTGAGAGAAAGACACTCTGCTAGTCTAGTATAGCAGGCTCTGTTGACCAAGAGACTTGGGCAGAGGAGTCTTCATGGCAGTATATTTCTCTCCACTGATCTCCAGATGTGCTACTGAAAGAAGCAAAAATAACTTTCCATTGTTAGGAAGGCATCAGTGTTGGAGATACAGCCACCCCACCTCTAACTCACAGGCACTTGTGAAAGTTCTTTTTAACAAACAGTGCTGCAAAGAAAAAGCTCCCCTTTCTGGTGCTATTGTTGAAACCTATTGATTCAGACTCCTAACAAAGAAAGAAACCTTCATATCTGTTTTAATACCACAATCTTGCATTGTCTCAGAAAGTCCCCAGATAGTGGTGGGGTGGGATGGGGTTGGGGGATGGTTTGAAACTCATGATGGCTTGACTTTGAACAGTGCTTAATTTACAAGCCAAGCATTTGTAAGAGGCTCTTCGTTGTCCCTCCCCTCAAGATTGTAATGTTGGCACATGGGTGCCTGTAATGCACACAGGTGTGTATCATGTTGTTTTTCTTGGAATTTTATACCTACAGAAACGTCTGTGTCAGAAAACTGCATAGAAGTTCATGACCCAACCTCATCCAAGATAAATCTGAGAACTGGAGAGGTTTTTGATCTCAATACAGTACAAGAAACTCATACAATTTCTGAAAATAAAATCAAACAAATGGATTGAGCCCGGTAGAGCTGGCACTCACCCCAAGAAAAATATTGCTTGGTTACACAATCCTGGTCCCAAAACCTGCATCAAACAATGAGAATTTCACCTTGAATAAGTAGCTAGTATTAAGAAGTATCTGGATCTACACACTGGCTGAATTTCAGTGCTTGGTCCACTGGACTATGCTTGCTTAGAATGTTGTGTAACATTTCCAGCTAGAGAAGAACTTCTCAGGGGAGATGGCACTTGATATGTAATGCAACTTAGTATTGCAAGCTGGATATTTTTTTTTACTGAGCAGGGTAATTATGGATTTCATCAACATCATTAGTTCATATTCATCACTGGAACTTACCAATCTGGCCTGTGCTCTATTCACCCAATTCCCTCACTTTGTCTCGGAGCACTATGGAGCACTAGCTACTACCATGCTAAGGAAGTATTTCTAGTGTAGGGAGAGGAGAAGATGTTGAGACTTCATGTGCTTGGAGGCATGAAGTTCTTTGCGATACCAATCAAAACATGTTATGTATTACTGTCTTTTTAAGAGATTTTCTGTAGTACGAAAAATCTGGGGGGAAGTCTGGAGGGTAACAAATGGAATATATCTTGATACCTTCCCCTTAAAACTTAATGAACAGGCAAAGTAACTGCAAATAAAAGCCTTGTTCAGAAGCACCTTCAATGGCTGTATATCACACTTAGTTTGATCTCTAGCTTTTCTGCAATACTGCTCTTTCAGTGCTAGAAAAATCTTCATCCTTGCCTGGATAGGTTCTGGATTTGAGTACTAGCAACTGAAAAACAGCAAAGCAACTATGGAAAAGAGCTGATGAACAGTCTTGGCTGACATGGCCACAACTGCCTCCTCCCAGAAAGCCTCTTCAAAGTGTAAACTCTTAATGGAAGCAATAGCTTTCCACATAACTAGTTGTTAATGTTCTTATTTGATGTTTTCCAAATCCTAGGCACTGATACTGCAAAATAACCTGTCATCCCTTGTGCAGTGCCTGCTGGAAACATGCTGTTTCTTAACCTAACCTGATTATCATTTCTTTAAAATGTTGATTTGAAATCTTTTGAGTGTGGTAGGGGTAAACAGATTTAAGTACAGATAGTTATTGCTGGATTATCTCTCTCTCTCTTTTAAATGCTGGTAATCTGTGCTTGGTGCTGTGAGCTATATCCCTGATAAACGCTGTGGCTCATATCACATTAATGCTGTGATGTCCTTCTATATGAGATTAGTTAATTTGGACTAGTGACCATTTCTTTAGTCAGTTACTAATGCTGATTCAGAAGCTGCACTCTATTTACAAATATATATCTAAAAATGGGAAAATTAATAGGTCTAATGCTCATATCATCTAGATAATGAGTACGAAAGTTTTGGTAAGAGCAGTAAACACAGACTAGTTATTCCTTGAATGTTTTCTGTTATATATCATCAAGTCACATTAGACTTGCAGCAACCTTAAAAGGGTTTTCAAGGTAAGTGAGATAGTTAAGGGGTGGTGTTACCACTGCCATCCCCCAGTGAATTTCCATGGCTGAGGAAGGATTCACATCTGCTCTTGAGTCCTTGTCTATCACTCTATCCACTACATTGGACTGGGTACCACAGTGGGTGCTCTTTGAACATGCACCTTTTAAAAATAAAAAATTCTGCAGAAGCTATACCTCTCTCCACTTACTGTGAAAAGATATAAGGGAGCAAGGCCTTGTTGCTCATATAAAACATGGCAAACTTTTTGTACCCTCCAACTTGCTCTCAGGATATCCCTCTTCTTGAGTGCTCTCCCTTTTTTCAGATTTAAATGTTTTCTTTCCAGTCTCATGCAACCTTGTTTCATGTTTTAAAAATAAGACCTGGCAGCCATTTGACTTGGAAAAAACAATGGACTATCCTGACCTATGATAAGAGAAAAATTATCTTTTGCCATGTATGGGTACAAACACTTCTATATAACAACAAGAACTGTAGAGCTGGAATGACTTTATGGATCATTGAGTCCAGTCCTTGTCAAGGAGGCATTGGGGGGGGTCTAGATTCCCAACCTTTGGCTCTGCAGCCAGGTAAACTCCACTGAGTGTCAAGCATAGTTGCAACTTTGGGAAGAGCAGGACCAAGAGTTTGTTTTGTGTTTTGCATAGAATGAGAAAGGCTTTGTTACTTGAGTCTCTGGTACTGAGAATGTAGCAAAATTTAAATTCTGGAGTGAGACTCAAGCCTATCTGGCGTTTAAAACAACAAACTGCATTTTGCTCTTATCTTTATAAATACCTTCTTCTGTCCAGCTACTTTTATTTCTTTTTCACACCATTCCAAGAGCTAAGTCTACTTTTTTTTTAACATAGTAAACCTGGTTCAGAATTGGGATGTCTGCTTCTACCTTCAATTGTGTGAAGGGGAGGTCCTAGGTTATGGAGGATTTGCATTCAAGATGTCACTGTTTCACCTTGAACTCTGGATAATGGCATCTGTTCCCAGATATGCTGTTAACTTGCTCTGTGCCTCTCTGACCACTTGCATTGCCTCTTATATCTTCACTATGGCCATATGCAAGCTTAGTACCTGTATGGATTTTATGATAGAAGATAGTATCATTCTATGGACTTGAAGTTTTGTCTTGTTTACTGAGTTTCCTTTCTTAATGTAACTACCTCTTGTAGTCTGCCTAGAATCGTACTGTGGCCACATAAATGCTGCCTGGGTCTTTTATTTCTCTGTTACAAAGCTGAAATTATAAACTGTAGAGATGTCAACACAAATGTGTTTAATCTAGCAAAGGCATATTAAGGGTATGTGACAAAAATCCCTATAAGTGAGCAGGATCATTTATCAGTTGAGAGGCATGACTTCTGGATACTATTCCCAGCTGTCTTGGATTAATTCCAAGATAATTAAGTTTCCATTCTGAGCTCTCACACTGGCTTCCTAAATTTGGCACAAGAGGGGAAACTACCCATGAACCACCATGAGAAAGCATATTGTACAATATTTAGATGCAGAATACCATGCTGAAACTGCCAGATCTATGGACTGGTTATGTGCATTACAATAAAATCAGAAGTATATGCTCTTCTGTAGAAACATGAAGTTTCTGGATAGCTTTAGGAAGCTTGCAGTTTTTCACTGGGCATAGAATTCTGCACCTGAAAGTTGCAGCTTTCATTTTTCCAAATTAGAACGTTTCTAACTCTGATGTTGCAATCATTATCTTTAAAGTGCGTGCACAATGGCTAGTGGAAATCTCAAAAACCAAAGATGGAGCTAAGGCCTTCTAGGAATCCAGACTTCAGTTTCTTTTTTAGCTTCCTTTGCCTCTTCAACATAAGCATATGCATGCGAAGTTGCCTATTTTCTGTAAAATAATACAACTCACATGCTTCATGTTATCTCAGTATTAAAACTTGATTTTAATACTGTATGCATGCATCCCTGGTGTGTAGGGTATTGTGAAATGATAGTGAGAATACAACATGGAAACACTGGGGAGGAGTCTTCATTGAGGGGGTTTGTTGGTTTTTGAAAGAGGGTTTGAGAGAATGAATTTGGTTCTTCAAGTGACTTGCTAACTTTTAACTGATTAACGTTCTTCTCACTAAACTTTCGCTGTGCTCAGTTTTGCATCTGTTGTTAAGGTTTATACCATTTTAAGGTAAAGATTAAAGGGTGCGTTTGCAAAGCTGTACTTCCATTGGCACTTATCCTGTCATCCAACAGATATTCCCAAATGGTTTTGGTTTCTTCTCGACTTAAGAACCCCTTATACTGTGCCTTATGTCTGTAATGCCACTTACAGGTAACAGTATGTTACATACAGCAACAGGCATCAACATGTTTTTGGGAAGATGGAGCATAATGGAATGTAATAACATCATGTTCAGAAAACCTGTGATGTTTGGTATTCAGACCTTCTTTTTCACTGCAAGACGGCTACAGCCTGTGTACAGTACCTGGTTTGTAATGCACAGGGTGGAACTAGATATCTAGTAATTGTAGAAAGCTGCTATATGGTTCCACACTTGGCAGCTGGAGAACACTAGCAGTCTAGTTTGAGCAGGGAAAGGAGCCATACCTCGCCACTATGGAGTGAGCCAATATTCTTCCTGGTTTAGATCACAACTCCTAGATAGTGTACTGTTTGTTCTCTATATTGGCCTTTTGTATAGACTGCCCCTCCATCATTGGAACCAATAGAATTAAATTGTGAACTGGTGTGCATTTATTTTTGCTCATTGGATTTGATACAGTAGTTTTATTGCTGGTTTACAGGCTGATTCTAAATGAAGCTGATTTCTGTATTGCCATTGCATGCATGAACTTATCAATAATAAGGGTATAATTTATATATCGCCTTCTGAGGTGAACTCAGTCAGGCAAGCCCATTTCACGTTTTTTATACTGCTGGTTACCCACAATATCTCTAACTAGTATAGTGTATATCTCTATAGAGTAAAATGTAGGAGATTATAGAGTAATGTTATGGTAATTGGTACAGATAAAGAAATCAGCAGAGATAGCAATTTCCTGTATTGAGCTCATACAAACCCTCCTGTTTGCATGTGCTCAGGCAACTCTTTCACTTTCCAGCACTGTACTTTCATATTAGCACTGTACTTTCATATGAGTCTCATATAGTCTGAATTTAGCTTGAAGTACAGAATTAGAGAAGTCCATAGCTAGATTAAACTCTTTCCTCAGATCAACACAGAGGATGATTCTTAATTTTGAGGTACTTTTACAGGATTATAGGCCTCTTAAATTATTAATTTCTGCTGTGATACTTATACTATATAGAGCACATAAAAGGATATTGCTGCGGATACAGACCTTTCAAACTGCCTAATGAAGTGATCCACACTAAAGTAAGGCATGAGTTGCCTTTGGCAGGGTTTTATGGTTAACCTTAGTCACTCCTATGGTTCTGACTGCCTGAAAAAGATGGACAAAGTCAAGAAGGGGTTGCAAAGAAACATGTGGGAAAGATCTGCGCTCTGGCTACCGTGGTCTTCATCCTTTCTGACTACATTTGAGGGCCACATGGTGAGCGTTTTCTGCTCATCATGAATTGGAAGGGTAGCATTCCATCTACCACCCTTTGTGCCCTTTTCATGTGGGAACATTAGAGAAATCTGGATTGGTTTGTTTACCCACACTTCAGGAGGCTGACCCTGAAGAGGGAACAGCAAGGTGAAGGGTACCAGTTTAAGAAAAGCAGAATAGCTGAGGTGGAAGAGAAGAGAGCATTTGCTGAGACACGATTAATTGTTCAATGGGAACTTTGACCTATCCCACTGAAAGGAAGAGGAGGTGCTTGGGGATTAATCAGTGCTTTTGGTAGAAGCCATTCAATAAGCATAGTATAAACAAGATTTGATAACTTATTTCCCCAAAAATAAGACAGGGTCTTATATTAATTTTTGCTCCAAAAACCACATTAGCACTTATTTTCAAGGAGTGTTTTATTTTTTTCATATACAACCATCTATATTTATTCAAATACAGTCGTATCATCTTCTGGTTGCTGCACAATGGTGGAGGGTGGGGTTTCACTTAACTAGGGCTTATTTTGGAGGTCGGGCTTATATTACGAGCATCCTGAAAAATCATACTAGGGCTTATTTTCAGGTTAGATCTTATTTTCTGAGAAATGGTATCAACAGATAGGGAACTGAGAAGATCTCTAAACTTATTCATATTTTTTGCAAGAGTTAAAAGATTTCATTCTTTATTGCTCCCTTGAAGAGGGTAGATCTCCTGGAAGTTAACTGGCAGGACTGTAGTAGATGAGAGCTAAAATCGAGGAAATGTTTTCTGCACATCTCAAACTCTAAATACTAAACCAGAAGAGGCTGTTATGCCAATGGAAAACAAAAACAATACACCTTGCTGAATGGGTGAATGCTGAAGAGTGTCTCCCACCAGGAGAAAATTCTGGCAGGACCATCTGGAAGTGAAGCAGGAATATCAAAGAATAATCTAGTAAAATGGCCCTACTTGGATACAGGACAAATTTTCTGTGACAGTGGAGAAATTCAATCAATGCAGCACTTACGTGTATGCTATTTATGTCCCACCAAGTGTACAAAAGACGATCTAGCAAATGGCTGAGAGAATGCTATTGAAGTAACCCTGCTTATGGTCAAAAATAGTCTTAATTGTCTTAACATTTTAATTTGTTTTTAATTTTACCTTTATTTCATATACACCCGTAATTTGAATTGTGCAATGTGCTGATAAGAAAGAAATAAACACTTTGCTACTTCAAATGGAGGAGAGTTATCAACCATCTCCCTCCTCATGTTGCTTTTGTTCTGTGTTGTCAGCATGCCTCTGACTTATGACGACCCTATTAATGAGTTACCTTCAAAATGTTCATGGGACTCCAAAATGCATTTCTCCTCTTGACCTAATTAGGCAGAATTGAGAGGGACTGTTCAGAGCAGCAGTTGGTAGGAGAAGGGCTTAAGGGCCCCTTGGTCCTATCAGATCTTGTGTCTATCTTTTATATGCAAGATGTTCTGAAAGCTATTGATGCTCTTCAACTGGGATCCACCTGTGATCACTACCTTTTAGCCTGCTAACAACTGTATCTTCGTTGCTATGCCCAGCTGTTTTGGGCTCTCCTCTAAGAGAAGAGGAAGCCCTTCCTGCTTACGTAGAACACACTGCCAGCAAAGAGGGCCTCTTCTCTTTGAAGCCCAATGACCATCTCTTTCTGGAAAAGTCCATTTTGGCTGAGGCTGGGGACATCCCAATTATAACCTTAATGTGTGTGCACTACCCTTTGCATCGGTTACAAATGGGTTGCTATTTCTTTCCAAGTATGTCCACATCACATAACATCTCTAGCACTCAAACATCTCTCTCTCTCTATAAAATTGTATTGATCTAGAATGAAGTTTTGATAGTATCCCCTGTGGTTCCTATCCATCAGTGCAACACATCTCAGTGTACCCACTAAATAAATAAATAAATACATAAATAAGCAAGCAGAAAAACTTGATAGTACAAAGAATATACCATCAGAGTATAGCAGAAAAACTTGGTAGTACAAAGAATATACCATCAGAGTATAAGAATAAATCTTCACTGGGAGAAGGTGGTTACGGCCAAGATCCCAGATGACAGAAACAAGGTTAACTTTATTGGCCGTCTTGTGGATCTCATTTTCAATGGTCCTCTTTTTAGATGTTCCTGAGCATCTCTCAATAGTCATTATTCATTAGCACTAAAAGTGAAAGCATTCAAAGTGTCATCCAAAGTGTAGCATGTTGGAAGCACTGCATCCAGGTAATGCAGAGACATGTCATTCTGTAAACTGATTTTAAAACCAAGCAGACAAAACTGCTAAAAAAACCTGTGAGCTAACCCAAAGGCTAACAGCAGAGATGCCTACAGCGACGGTGTAAAGAAACGTAGAAGGCAGGCAGACCTTGTAAGCCTGGGGTTGGAAACCATTAAGAATGTCGGGGCGGCAGTTGGAACATCTCCCTCCCCCATCCCCAACTGTCAATGTGAGGGAGTGGACCGTTTCAAACTGTGAGAGATCACAGTAAGTATTCTGAGGGTGAAGATTAGGACTGAGATGGAGGACGCATGCTAGGATGAGGTTAAGAAAACTCTCCACCAGAATCCACTGTCATGTCTAGGGATGAGTCAGGCTCCAGAACTGCCTCCCTCCTCCACACACAATGTAGTGTGTCTTACTGTTAGGCAGTAAGAATTTCAAAAAAAAAAAAAAAGGGGGGGAAGAAGCTTCAGTACTTAGCATTGGTTTGATTGCCTTCGGATGGATCACTGGAGCTTGTGTGTCAGTTTGTAATATTTTCGTTTATTTACAGACATGCTGTCTGAGGAGAAGTGGCAGCAACAGTCTAAACATTCCAACACGGCAAACTACACTGCCCCCTCATCAGATTTTCAGAGAGGCAACACCATATGTTGATGTCTTTCAGAGGCCAAAAAAATAATCCTGCTCCCTTTTGGTGTATCCCTCTGCCAACTGTAACTGTGTTCATTCTCTCTCTCCCTTGACTGTCTCACACACAAACACGTATACACAGGATCATCCTTAAAGAGGATGTGTGCTTCAACAGCAAAAAACAACCCCCCACACCTCTTTTGTAAAGTGTTTACATGGAGTTTCCTTTAACAGAAGATAAACCCAGCAACTTGGGCACTGACTATTATAGAAATGTCCAATAATCTGGCAGGTCTAATTAGCTCTCACTCCTATCCAAACCTCCCCTCTTTCAACACTACCCCAATACGCACAGGAAGCCTTTTACTGCACACCACAAAAGTAGAAGGGGAAAGGACAATCTATCCCACGTCCACTTCAAAGCTCCCCTCCCTCCCTTGGGCCCAAAGAAGCCACTTCTTGTTCTACTGTAGTTTTTCTTCTGTCAGAACCTGGACATCATCGTGGCTATAGCGATTTCGGGTGCAACAGCTTTTAATAGCGATGTGGTGCTACATTCAAACCACCCCCCAAGGTTCTTCAGGAGGTTATTTTCTTTCCTGAGACACTTTCCCCATTGATTTTATCCTGAATGATCAACAGTAACAATTTAAATTTTTAAAAGTATCTCAGTTTGTGCATTTTATATGTTTTATGATTTTATGATTTAAAAGAATGATCACTGAAGGAGTTCTATTGTTCTTTATTAGTTCATCTTAGAACTCCTTCAGTGGTCATTCTTTTAATCCAATAAATTCTTAACATCCTACTGTTACAAGCGCGCTGAAGCCTCTATTATCTCAGGCCTTCAGGAGGTGCTCACTCTTCTTCACAAGTTGCTGCCACCAATATCAATTCAGTACCAATTATTTACTGAGACATGTGTTGCTTTGAAACTTAAACTTGTTTATTTGATCAGTAATATATATTAAGTAAATCACAAGTTGCTAATCAATTTCTCTCACTGAACTCACTGACACACAGAACCCTACTCTCACTGACTTTCTGGCTCACTCTCTCACAGACTCCCAGATCTCTCCAAAACTCCTTCTCATCCTCAATACACCCCCCCTTTATATCCCAGCCCCTCCCCCTTTAGCACCACCTTCCATTCACTCATTGGCTCCTTTTCCACTGCTCAGCTGTGACGGACAGGTGAGAGCAGGGCTGAACGCTACAGATACAAAACTGCATTTCAGAACCTTCTTTGTTATAGGTTCCTATGCTTAAGTCTAAGATTCTTCACCATACAGTTGAACCAACAATACATAGCACCATAAAATGTATATTAAGAACTTTTAAAAAAATTGCATATTGCATTTTTTATTAAAGGAAGATGCTCCAGACCATCTCCATTATGATTACAAACTCCTGTTTTAAGCTAGCTAATACTGGGAGGAAGGGAATACACTGCAAGCCCTGTTGCAGAGGCCCACTCGTACAGCACATATGCCTCCATACATTTTATAATGTAAACCTAAAGATGTCTGCATATTCATAAATGTCTACACAGGACTAGCTCCTGCACTGTCCTAGCTCTACCGGGGATAGGTGGGTGAGTGCAGTCCCAGCATTACTCATTATTGTCTATGCTGACTTGAGTTGGTAGGAGCTGCAATCCCGCAAGACTTTGCTCACCTCTGCTTTGACAGGACAGAAGAGATGAGGGCTTATCTTTCACTAAGTGCCTATGGACCTAATTCTATTCTCGACAGCATCTCTAAGAATGGGTGTGCTACACTGATTCTTAGTCTTTTATCTTTCTTTTGGCAGATTCATTGATGCAAGTGCTTGAAGATGGCAACCAAGCAAGGGTATGGTGGCACCTCGGTTGCCTCTGTGGATGTTCCGTCTTCTAGTTCTGAAGGAACCTTGAGTCTCAGTCCTAATAGCCCAGGGCTGTGTCTTCTCTCACCTCCCGTTACAGAGTCCCACTGGCTCAGCAATGCTCCAGCACAGCCCAAGTCACCTTCAGAAACGAATCTTACCCTGGAGGAGCTGCTTGCTCCCATTACGGAAAAGTTGAAGTATTTGCTGAAGAAAGCAGAGGACTTCCAGACATATCTCCTGTACAGGTGGCACAGGGCTGGGCAAATGGGGTAGCCTTTTGACCTAGGGTGGGGAAGCTTTGGTTCTCCAGAGAGTTGGAGCTTCAGCGCTCAGAAGCCCCGATCAGCAAGGCTAGTGAAAAGGAATTGTGAGGCCTGTAGTATAAAACATATGGAACACCAACAATTCCTCACCTCTGCTTTTGATAATCAAGGCAAGTTCATACAATGCTCCCTAAAACCAGATTTTGACATGAACCATGAAAAAGTTGCAGTTTAAAAAGAAGAGCTTCTGTGTTGAATCTGCCACTCTAGTGCTGAAGGTTGGTCTGCTGGAATATCACTTTAGTCCTGTTCTCCTTTCCAATTATCAAGTTAAGAAGTCCAAGAGAAATATAAATTCTTGTCAGAGAAGTAGCATGCCACCAAGTTGTCTGGTGTGCTTTTGCACACACTGGTCAGTATCAGGCAGAAATCAGATTTAATACGAAAGATTTAAGCCTTTACTCCAAGGGAACTTTCCCCCCTTCACACCAGTGCTGCTTTTGAGACATGAGCCTGATATGTGTTACGATATAATGTACACAGTGGAACTCTAATTTTCTTAAGAGACTCATGCTACTGTAACTACCACCATCTCCACAAATACTGGAAGCATCACAAAAGAGACAGAGTAAGTCCAAACTTCTTTGCTCTTTATAGAGCCACAAAGGTCCTACCAGGGCAGAGCCTTATGAAAGATATAGTCTGTCTCTTATGATTTACTCTGGCTTTTCTGAGCACCTAGTGCAAATTGTGGGTCGAGAAGTTCTAGCACTCTAGGGTCTTATGCAACATGCAGATTCTTGTAGAGCATTTTCATTTGTATGCTGGATGCCTGGAAACTGCTCAATCCTCTTGCATGCTGATCTGCCTAGTGACCTGCAGGAAGTAAGAGACTGAGCCTATCCTCCTTCCCAGTTCTTTGCAACCTGTCCCAGGAAAAAAGGCAGATGGGGCTTTTTTCAACCACTCTGCTCTGGTGGCTGGGTTTGCTGACTGCAAATGGTGGGAGCTGTCGCTGGAGGAAGTCAGGTTGACAAAAACATAGCCAGCTGCTCTGTCGGTTTCCATTTCTTGTTTTGAAAAATATATTTTCCAAAATGCTTTCAAAATCCTCAACTCTGCCCTGTTAACCAGGCACCTTTTGAGTGTTTGTGTGTGGGCAGTGGCAGCTGATTTGGTCAAGAAGAGTTCTGCAGGGAGCAAACTTTATGTCCCTGTTTTCTCCTTCAATTAGAGACAAACTAAAGGAGAAGCTCAGCTTACATTTAGACAAGGAGCACTGTAAATAGTGAAAGTCATCTGTCTTCACATACACATTTCTCACCTTCAGAAGCATCTTGCCAATTAAGTAGCTTGCTTTGTTTGGCTACTGATCAGCAGGAGGTAAGCATGGGCTTCATTTGCAAGTCTGCTTGCTCAGCCATGCAGCTCCCAGAAGCTCTTGTTACTGGAGGACAATCAGGCTATCAGCATCTGAATCTCAGGAGGCTGTGTTTTTGCCCTCCTTTGCCCTAAAGGCAAACCGAGCATCCTGTCTTATTTGAGCCTCAGTGCTACAAATGAACAGCATGTGATGACCAAAGCACGGGTCTCCTTTTTCCAGCAGGGACAGAATGCAGAAGGAGCAGTTTGCCAAAGCTATGCCGACATTCCTACACATGTGCCAGCCCTACTTCCACTACCTGGAATCGACAGCACGCAGCTGCACACCTTATTTGAGACTGCCCCAGGAGCCAGTGAGAAGGCGGGTGAGTCTGCCTGTACGAAGAGGAGAAGGCCTGGAATGGTCAGGAGGGAGACTGTGTCCAGGCAGGTTCGAACAGTTTAACTCTGCTTCACGGACACCCAGTTTACACCTTTGCAGCCCTAATCTGAGAAGGGACTCAAAGGAAAGGAGAAGGCGATTTGCAGGATAAGAAGTGGCCAGGATCAAAATCTTCTCCATTTGGCTTGGGAGGGGTCCTGGGATTAACTCAAAGAACCTCCGCAGCCTCTTTCTAAATCAAACATTTTGGTCTTCATTTCCAAAATTGTATCTGAAATTACAGGTGTTTTCCTTGTGATCATTTAGTTAGTGTATTCATGGCCTTGGTCCCTTCCTTTTTCTTTCACACTCACAGCACTTATGAGGATGACAGGGAGAAGTTTCCATCTTTACACTTTGGAGCAACTGTGCAAATAGATTGCACTTCAGAACTGAAACCTTTGGAGGGATGAAGTCCTTGAGAAAAAGAGGCTATACTGGGATGTCATGAGATAAGGGGAAATAAATTGAACTAATCTCAAGGAAGGAGAAATAGAAGGAGCATTTGTGCAAATCCACCTTTAGATTCTAAATCATACTTTAAAGAGGAAGGATAGCAGGCTTATTAGATATGATCTACATTAAATGAGATATGGTAATATTTCCCAGCAGTGGACAATTACACTTTCAATTCCATCAATAGCAGTGATGAGGATGGAGCATCCAAGTATGGGAGACTTTTTTTTTTAATCATAAAGTTGCTCAGCCCTATTCAAGAATTTGGCAGAAGTACAGAGGATACTGCCTTTCATTTGTAAGCCTCTTGAGTGTACGTACCAGTGCTTCCTTCAGTCCTTTTGTCTTACCAAATGCGTCTGCCTCTTTCTGCCTTCCTAACTTTGCTTTTTTGCTAGCCAACCCACTGCTTGCTCAAGCTTAAGGAGTGTGTGCTGATTTTCTTCTGAGAGAGGAAAAGGAACAGCAGGAAACATGGATCAGTCCAGCCTGTCACTTTCCAGGACCATGGCTGTAACTGAGACTGAAAGGACAGAGAATCCTTTCCAGCTCAGTAGATTAACTCTGTTTTGGAAATCTCAAGAACTGCATTCTCATGGCAGGCAGAATCAAAAGCGAAAAGGTTCTGCAAGACATGCCAGCACATTAGAACTTCAAGCTGTTGCTGTCAATATTAGGGTAGGCACTTCAACTTTATTTACAGGGGAACCCCCATACAGCCAACTGGAAACCACCAAATGCCAGTATTACAGGCCAGGGATACAAATCCTTCCTGCTAACCCCAGACCAGTGATTTCCAACCTTGGGTCCCTAGATGTTCTTGGACTGCAACTCCCAGAAATCCTGGCCAACACAACAAGTGGTGAATGCTTCTGAGAGTTTTAAGTGTAAGAACACGTGGGGACCCAGGGTTGGGAACCACTGCCCTAGAGGGCTGGATTGGGTCTGCACAAGAAGAACAATGGTGAGCAATGAGACAGTTCATGGTAATTGACCCATTCTCAGTTAGTACTTGACTGCTATTACTGAAAGTTCTGTCTTTTCTACTTCCAGCCTTTAAAAAAAAAAACCATCTAGCCCACATTCCCTTGTCAGTTCTACTCTTACTTTGTAGCTTTTGGAGATTTCTCAGCAGCTGGTTTGTCAGCTTGAGCAGTTGGTGCTGATGTACGCTTCATTCAGCTTTGTCTCCCTAGAAGACACGGACCCATCCAGGTACGAGACAGACTTGAAGGAAGGTCTAGCTACATATACTGGAAGAGCCTCGTGGTGCAGTGGTTAAACTGCTGTACTACAGCCCAAACTGTGCTCACGACCCGGGGTTCAATCCCAGGTAGCCGGCTCAAGGTTGACTCAGTCTTCTATCCTTCAGAGGTCGGCTCATTTTACCGACCTCTGAAGGATAGAAGACTGAGTCAACCTTGAGAGCTTGCTTGGGGGGGGGTGCGGAATGTGTAGCCTGCATAATTAACTTGTAAACTGCCCAGAGAGTGCTTGAAGTGCTATGGGGCGGCATATAAGCAGCACGCTTTGCTTTTTACTTTACTTATTCTGCTGAGGCCAAGAACAGGAGACTCCTGGTGTGGTGCTTTCTAGTCACTACAGTTTGTAGAGTTGAGGAAAATTGGTTTTTCCAAATGAAATCAGTAGCATTATTTATACCATTAAGCACAAAAGAGTACTCTACAGATAAAGATGTTTTTTATGAATAAATGTGATTAGATTTCTTTCTTTTGCTTTAATGCAAAACAGAACTGGATTTCCTGTGCAAGTTTTTAAACCCACAAATCTTTCTAAAAATACTCAACATTTTATTTCAAAAATTGTTGGCTTTCCTCCCTTCACTGTACAGTTTTGGGCAAAAGTATTATAAATATAATATTGAATTACAATAATCAAAGTTCTGTTGAGCTATTTTGGGGACTGTCCCTAAACAGAATACCTATTTGCTGATGTTTTGTACAAATTTGGAAAAATATTTATTTTGGTTTTGAAACTATGCTTCTCTCGTAAGTCCATTTTTCACTGTTCATGCACCTACTTGTTCCTCTCTGTCCATCTCCAAATCTTCACCAGTGTCTCCTGTTTCTTCTGTGGGAAATTTTGGCTGAACGAAGTCCGACAGGTTTCTATCTTTCAATACTGCATCTCAGCACCCTATACAGCTGCCCATGTTCCTCATAACCTATACAAGAAGATGCGCTGGAACCTTGACATCTTGGAAGGGTCTGCTGGGCGGAATCAAACACCTCAGACAGAATAGTGAGTTGCTGGACATACTGATGGGCAAAGGGGCTGGAGGGAACAGTATGGAGAAACACTGCTACCCATCACCACGTCTGTCTGGTGTTTGAAGAGTGGGAGATTCTACAGGCGGTGTTGAGCTGCTGCAATTCCTGCTGTGAATATGCTACACATTCTAGGGTGAATGGCTTAACTAGTGCCAAGATATTTGTGGCATTTGTTAGCCTTTAAGGTGCAACAGGACTCGTTTTTCCTACAACAAACTAACCCAGCTCCCCTTTGAGATTACTGCTGTTATTTTGAGGTTCCCTGAAACTTCCTTGACCAGACTTTCTCATCCTTTCTAGCCTCTATGTTATCTTGTCCTTCTGTTTTAGTTACTTTCTCTGCTTCCGGGACACAGGCGATGAAAAAACAGTCAAGATGCAGAAGCTCTGGTCCATTGGACGTTGGGTGCCCCTAGATCCTGACAGTGAGCACAGCTCTGATGTGCTTTCCTGGTAAGTATCCAGAACAGAAGTGCTAACCAGAGTTAGCTTTAGTCTTGGGTAGCCTACCTGCCAGGACATATACTTTTTAGCCAACAATACTGGATCTCCAATCTCTGTGCAGTTCAGGCAGAACTGAAGGTCAGGTTATAAGATTGGCAAAGTATATAGTAATGCTGTTTTCTGACCTCCACTCTCAGATTCCCTTGCTCCTGCCAAAAATTGTTTTCCCTGGGGGGAAAGTGAATTGCTGTTCTTGGAAGGCTTAGGAGTTGCAATTCATCTATAAATAATTTCTAGGCCTGCCATATTATTTAACAACATATATTTTTCAAAAGTGGACACTTGCAGTTTTGTATTTTTCCATATTTGGTGATCCATGCAGCCCCCGAAGGATTCTAGGGGCAGAAACTTGTGTCTCTGGATCCATCAAAATTACCTCTCCCTGAACTAAATGAGATGTCTAGAATATCTAGATGAGATGTTTCCTGAAGTGGTCAAAGATATACTCACAGCATATGATGTTACTCACCTACTATTTTGTTTTTAACATGCTTTACTTTGTAGTTCCTCCCTGGAAGGGAAGAACAGGTTTACTTTGCAAGTCTGAGCACTGAGGAATGGAACTCTGAGGAAATCCCACTGTTGGAGGAAAAATGACATAATTTAATCAAGCCCTCCCATTCATATGGAATCACTCTTGCCATGTAGTCATGGTATAAATTCAGAAAGCCAAACTCCCAGAGAACTTATCTGAACAGTGCCACAGCCACTGCTGACCTGACCTGTTTTCTCCACACAGGGTACTATGTCATCAGCCTATGGGGGATTATCAGCAGCTCTTGACTATTGGATTTGAGGAACCTTCCCACACTTTAGCCACGGACCTCTTGGTACAAATGCTAAATGCTCAGAGTACTGGCGCTCAGAGTACTGGTCCACATAATCGCGAGACTTCCTCCTGGGTGAGCCCAGGGGAACAGGGGCAGTAAAAGGCAGATATACTTTCAAGGCATACTGAAAACTGCAGCTTTCCTGATTCCTAATGCCACCTGCACTGCATTAGCAGAGGCCAGCTTGTAGCTTCTTCATATTAGGCATATATTAGTCTTGCATGAGGAGACACGTGGCCTTACCAATATGTCACTTTGAGATTCTGGTAACATTGTTTTGAAATAGGACAAAAAAGAATCTCGGTCCCCTGTTGCGTCTGCTTCTTATCCCATTGTATTTATGCTACTTGCAAGATAGAGTTCCATTATACAGTATTTTAAAATAAGGACAGACGTTGATGTTCACTGCTTGCCATCCTCTTGGGTTTCTATGCTTGGCTACTGAGCCGAAATCACCCACTTGGAGCTAAACCATATGACATAAGGCCCTTGTGACCCTCCTATTCCCAGTGGGATACAGCTGAGAGCCGTCTTGTACTTCTTCCAGGTAAAGATTCCAGCCACAGACTCTTGATAGTGGTTCAACACTAGACACAGGTCTGATCCTGCCAACTTTGTAGCCAATTTATCTGAAGGTGTACAACGTCTGATTCCTCTTGCCTGCTGAGCTCTGGTCACTTGACTGTCTAGTGTAATGAGGATAACCAAAGTATCTGAGGAAGCTAGGAAGAGACATCCATAAAATCTGGCTATTTTAAAAATGTATGTTATAGCTTATTGAATAATGCAATAAATGCAGGTTTTGCACATCTTTCCATGCTAGTGACTGTGTTCAGTCTTAACATTGGGTGGGGCTTCTTGCCTAGCAAGGTTGTTGGAGTGGAGACTATCCTTTCGGTTCATGACTTTTCATCCTTCAGTTCCAGTTGCATTTATTAATTTTATTGACTAGCATGCATGCCTAAGGTGATGCGCAAAAGAGAAAAATAAACACCATTTAAAAACAACAATGCATAAAAGACAGGACAAGATCAGCAGTAATACAAGGTCATTCTCCCACTGCTCAGAAAAACAAATTTGTTGGTGATATCCCCAGAAAACTCACAATGGTGGAAAGGTACCATTGTATGAGGAATAAACAGTCCTGTGTGTTACAGTATTTCAAAGGAGTTGCGCTAGAGGAGTCAGCACGGTTGTATTGCAAGCACAGAAGCCGCTAGTTAAGCATTGGCAAAGCATCAAAAGGGGCAAAATTGCTGAGTCAGAAAGGCACAAAGGAGGACGAAGAGAAGCTCTGCCACCCAGTGGCCAAAACATCTCTCTCCAAGTTAAGCTACACCGATAGTTTCCTTTGGTTACGTGCCAAGATACATATAACTGGAAATGTCAAACATGGAGGCAGAGAGCCATAATAAATGCATACAAAGAAGAGAAAGAAGTATAATTATTATAATAGTGCTCACTCCTAGGTCTGGCAGCCTGTACAACTGCTTCATCTCACAATGCGGGCATCAGTGAGATAGGAAGGCCAAGCTGAGTTTCAGTAAAGCTTTGCTATTTTTTAAAGCCTCAACAAGGTCAAAATCTACACAACAGAATGATTGAAGCTTAGAACTTTCCTGTTTCCTCATTTGTTACACTGAGAACAATTTCCAAAAAGTATACACCTCTCTTAAAAATTCAGTTAAAAATGTATAGTACTGAAAATGCTGCAGGATGTCATGGTTCAGTAACACTTCAGAAACTGGTCTCAGAAGCTGACATAAACCAAGGCAGGATCAGGTGGCATGCAACTATCCTTTTCCAGCTAGAAGGATCATAATAAATTCCTGAAATTCTGAAGCCAGATTGAAATTGGTTGGTGTTACAACTACCAACATGGGATGTAAAACGAAGCAGTGCGCCGAGTTCACTATTTGCTTAGGTTCTATCAGGTGTTTTTGTTATGTACTGTAGTTTCATTATGTAACTTATGTGATATTTACAGAAATATACATGGTGATTATAAGATTTAAACTGGACTTAATGTAAGCACATGGCAGCACTAATCAGGCCAGAAGTGAATCTTGTTTGCTGTCGCATCCTGGAATGATTAGGTAAAATTAAACCAATGGCTCATCTACTATAATAATGCCTGCTTAAAGACTGTAGCCACAGACCTGGCTAGTTCAGTCAAATCTCTGTACTATATTTCCGTAGCACAGAAAAACTGGAAATCTTTAAAAAGCACAAACATAAGGTCATAATCACAAATAAAGCAGAAACAAAAGAACCCACATACCAAACTAAAACCAAGAGTAAGCCAGATGTTTAAAAGGGAACATGCACTTTTTAGAAAGCTGAAAAATTAAGAAACCTAGAGGAATAAAAAGCTTTTTCTTGATGCTCAAAAGACTATGATGTAGGGAACAGGCAAACATACCACTGACAAGTCCCTCTTCCTAGTAGCCACTCACCTCAGATCATTTGGCTGGAGCATTTACAGTGGGGTCTTGACTTGAGAACTTAATCCGTATTGGAAGGCGGTACTCGTAAAAAAGTATGTAAGTCAAGTCTCCATTGACCTACAGTGCATTGAAAACCGATTAATCCCGTAACAGGCCATTTTTGTTCCATTTTGGTTTTTTTCTGGTCTGTAAGTCAAATCTCAGTCTGCAAGTCAAACCTAAATTTTGCAGCCAGAGAAGTCTGTAACTCAAAAAGTCTGTAAGTCAAGCCGTCTGTAAGTCAAGGGTCCACTGTATAGAAGGGCCTCAGAAGGAAGGTAGATAGGTAGCAAGCTGAACAAGCAGTGGGAGCTCTTTAATCACTGAAATTCTTCCTGGCAGTGATGCCATCATCCTGATGCAGGTATAACTTATGCAACAGTACTTGGGCCACCATTTCCTAGGCAACTGATATGTAGCTCAAGCAGAGTCAAGCATCAGCAAGGGAGTTTCTAGGCTTCTCCAGCACAATGTTTTGGACTACTACTGTGTCAAATGAATGGTTGGGATGTTGGAAATTATATATATACACTATACATCTGAGAAAAACCAAGGGTAGGAAAGAAGCATATACCGTGTTTCCCTGAAAGTAAGACAGGGTCTTATGTTAATTTTTGCTGCAAAAAATGCATTAGGGCTTATTTTCAGGGGATTTTTTAAAAAAAATATAAAACAATCTACATTTATTCAAATACAGTCATGTCACCTTCTTCTGGTTGGTGCACAATGCTGCAGGGCAGGGTTTCACCTAACTGGGCATATTTTGGGGTAGGACTTATATTACGAGCATCCTGAAAAATCATACTAGGGTTTATTTTCGGGTTAGGTCTTATTTTCAGGGAAACAGGGTATTATTCTCTATTGTTGAAGTGTGATTGCATTAAGACAAGCACTCATGTCAGCAGCACTTTCTTGTTATCTGTCATCAAGTTGTCCTTGATGAGCCTATGAATGAGTGAAGAGACACAGTGTAATATAGTGGATAGGTTAATGGACTATAACTCAGAAGGCCCGATTTTAAATCTATGCGCAGCCATAGAAACTCATGATGCATATGTGTGTACCTTGTAAAATCATTCCTTAAATATCTCACTTGCCTTGAAAGCCCCGTTAGGGTTGCTACAAGTCAGTTTGGACTTGACAGGACATAACAATGAATGAAGGACTTCCAAAATGCCCTGCCTTAACAGTTCTGCTGAGCTCTTGCAAACTCAAGGCCGTGGCTTCCCTTCCTGAATCAATATACTTCATATTTGGCCTTCCTGTTTTCCTGCTGCTTTCAGCTTTTCCTAGTATTGGCTTTTCCAGCATTTTGTCATAATATGGCCAAAGTCTGATATCCACAGTTTCATCATTTTTTTCACTGAGAGAGAGTTTAAGCTTGATTTGATCTAGGACCTGCTTGTTTGTCCTTCAGACAGTTCATAGTATCCACAAAATTATCTTGCAGAGCCACATTTCATATGCATCCTGTCAGTTTTCACATCTGTACATAATATTTAGGAATACAGTACAATATTGTGGATGGTCTTGAGTTTGGTTTCCAGTGATACATCCTTACATGTGAGGTTTTCTACTTCCTTCATAGCTGTCCTTCCAAGTATTCTTCTTCTAATCATTTTGGCTACAGTCTCCATTTGAATTGATAATTGATGCAAAGTATACAAAACCTTTCCATTTCTGTTCCTTCATTGTCAACATTAAAGCAGCTCACTTGCCCCTTTGCCCCTCAACCTACAGTCCATACATCTTCCAGGAAGATAACAGTATTGGTCTACCATAGTAGAAGTAACACAGGCTTATGGAAGAAGCAATAGAGTGGTTTGTATAGATTTAAAGATTACAATATTTACTGTGGCATTTATTTTGGTGGTGTACTAGAGCACTTTTTACCATAAGCATGAAGTCTTAGCCATAATGCATTTTTATCCCATTCATCTTCCAAGAAGTTCACAGTAATAGACTTAGTTCCATCAGCATACACAATATTCCATACATAATAAATGATATGCAGAGAGATAGAAATACTGTATAGGAAACTTTTCATTGTCGACCCTGAAAACGATCAGAGAAGAAGATGGCATATCAAAAGATGGAAGGACAATCCAACAGCCACAGATCTGCAGAGGACCAAGCCAAACCATAGCTCTGTCACCTGAGTGTCGCCTTGGATCTGCACAGGTTAACTCGCTTGAGTGGCAGTTTGGTTTCAGGTCTCAGGGGCATCACAGGTGTCCCACTGTTTAGCCTTAAACCCCAAGTTGACCTCGGCTTTGCCTGATGAAGACTTCTGGAGAACTCGAAAGTTCACTGCGTTTGTCCCTTTTCAGTGAGCCAACAGAAGCGTTACTCAAGCCGAAAACTGGCATTAAAAAAACGAGCGACGCACGCTTACACGGCTCTCCATCCAAGGTGGGCGATAGGCTACCCTGAGCCCAACTCCTCCTTTAAAAGAAACCCTAAAC